GGATCTCACTCAGACACAGGCCTGTGCCCAGTGTTTCTGCATGAGGGGTGGTGGGCAGCAGTGCCAGGGCCCTGTGAGCGCTTGTGAGCATCTATAGGCAGCACTAAGCTCAGACCTCGGAACCTGAGTCCGTCCCTCAGACCTCCTCGTTTGGGGCAGTGTTTTCCCATCCCGCATCTGTTTATGTTTGTTTGTTTGTTTGTTTGATTGTTGTTGCTTTTTGTTCTTGTTAATCCTCCCCCGAAGAGATTTCTATTGATTTTTAGAAAGAGTGGAAGGGAGAGGAGGAGAGACAGAGTGAAGGAAACATCTATGTGAGAGAGACACATGCATTGGGTGCCTCCTGCACGTGCCCTGATCGGGGTTGGGGAGTGAGCCTGCAACGGAGAAATGTGCCCTTAACCTGAATAGAACCTGGGACCTTTCAGTTCATCGGCCGATGCTCTATCCACTGAGCCAAACTGGCTAGGGCTGTTTATTTATTTTTTTAACATGTTTGATTTATTTACTTATTTACTTACTTATTTATTTATTGTAGAGAGGGGTAGAGAGATAGAAACATCACTGATTGGCTGCCTGCTGGGAATCAAGCCCAAAACTCCGGGCATCAAACCAATCATCTCTTGGTTCATGGGTCGATGCTCAACCACTGAGCTACACTGACCGGGCCATCCAGCATCTGTTTAGAGAGGCCCACATTTCAGTAGCTGGGGGCGGGGGCGAGCACTCCTCTCTCCTCTCCCTTCTCAAGACCAAAGCTAAGCGCTGACTTGGATGGAACCGTTTGAACCTTGACCCTTGGCCTGCTGCAGGCCCACTCTGCAGCTCTGCGGCGGAAGGGGGAGGAGTCAGGAAAACTGATCAGGTTACTTGGGAGAAGGCCATGCTCTCCTTTACAGGGAAAGAACAGCAGGGGGCGCTGTTGCTGCGCTTCCTGTCCTTGGTGGCTGTTTCGGAATCCTGACAGAAACGTGCGTTAAAGCCTGGCTTTCCACCTGCTTCTTGGAAGACGGCTGCATTCTGAATCTCCATAGTGGGGAGCAGAAGCTAAGCAGCAGGCTTCACACGGGCTGAGGACTGGGTGCAGAGGCAGCCTCCTGGACTCCGGTGTCCCTCGCCCCAGCACACGCACCAGCCATTTCCTTTGTCCTCCAGGACTTCCTGTCTGGTCATGGAATGACAACTGAGCAGAAGGGGGCGGGGGTGGTAACAAAAGACAAGCTTAAGGGCGTATCTGTTGGGGGGGTCAGATAAAGGCTGTTGGAAAGAGACCTGGAAGGTCAGTGAGGGTGGTCAGCTCCGGGCAGCAGGGGCATCCAGACGGGGAAAAATGGATGTAGATGTGGAGCTGGGCATGTTCAGGGGAGCACAGGATCAGAGCTTCAGATATCTTCAGGGACCAACAGGCCAGTGGGGGACTGGGCCGGGGGGAGGGGGTGGGGAGAGACTGGGGCAAACTGGGCAGCTCCCGACCTGGCCACGTGTTACCAGGCCAGGGCAGGCCTACTGCTTCCTGATCCCTCCTTCAGAAGCCACACGTCTGAGTGTCCCTGTGAACCATGGACCGAGTGGCTTAGTGGCTTATAAACAACAGGCGTGTATTGTTGACAGCCCTGGAGGCTGGGAAGTCCAAGACCCAGGCACTGGCAGGCTTCCTGGTCGCAGACAACTTGTCACTGTCCTCACCAGCAGAAGGGGCGGGGAGCGATCTTGGGCCTTAATCTCATTTAGAAGTCTCCACCCTCATGGCCTGATCGCCTCCCAAGGCCCCACCTCCCAATCCCAGCAGTTCCACGTATTAACCTGGGGGCGCGCACAAATCAGTCCACAGCCGCAGGCTGCGTGGCAGGGCCAGGACTTGGGAGAGACCAGCAGAAGCCCAGGGCACTGAAGGCAAGGAGACCCTCAGACAGAGAGAGGCCCCCTCACAGTTTCCTCCCTGAGCTCCCATTTGCAAGTTAGGGTTCAAAGAGCAAAGCAGGGAGAGACGTGCTGGCAGACAGGGCTGGGTTTCTGAGCCTCACTGGGCGGGCACTGGGAGCCACTGGAGCTTTCTGAAGAGGACCATCGTGTGCTTGGGGAGGGCGGTGAAGATGGGGGCTGGCAAGGGCTTTCCTAAGAGGCCAGGCTGGAGCTAGGGAGGCGGCCTCGGGAACCAAGAGGGGTTTGGTTATCTTGTACAGAGGCTCTGGAATCAGACTGTCCAAGTTCAAATCCCGACTTTTCCATTTACTAGGTGTGACCCTGGGGATGCAATTTACCTCTCCGTGTCTCAGTGTCTTTATCTGTAAGACGGGCATCAGAGTAGGGCCTTGCCTACCTCACAAAGTGGTGGAATTTCAATGAGGTCGTCTACATGAAACGTTGAGAACAGGGCCTGGCACATAGTTGGCACTCAGAACACGTTAGCCATGCGAACTGATGGAGAGGCCAAGGGACAGTCCCCAGCACCCATGCGGTAAGCAAGCCTGGGCACAGGGCCGCTTAGAAGCACCTGTGGGATCTTTTAAACCTCCCCAGGCCAAAGCCCCGCCCCAGACCAATTAAGTCAGTCCCTAGGGTGGGGTCTGGGTCTTGTTTTCTGGAAGTTTCCCAGGAGCTGAATGCCGCTGAGCTAGGGAATCCTTGCTAATCTAGAACCTTGTGTGCCTGAGGTCTGCAGCAGAGAACTGACCTTGAAAAGACACAGACAGGCAACCATTTTGCAGCAGGAGGTGACGCCAGATGGAGTGGGGGTGGGAGGGGGTGTGACCTCGGGGCCCAGCTGGAAGTTTCTGGGGTTCCTGGGGTCCTTGAGGGCCTGGCTGTCACCGGCACCCCAACCCCAGGCTGGATGAAGGCCGCCAACCGTACCCCGGGAGGACTACCGAGCAGGAGGCCTGAGCGCAGCTCTGAGCTGGGCTTGGGCGCCAGGGGGAGCTCGTGGGGACAGCCAGGGCTCCATCCCCGCAGCTGGTTCAAACTGGTTTGGGCAGGGTGCGGCCCAGGCCGGCTGCATTCCGGGCCTCAGGCTGGCTGCCCGCCTCCCGGTCACCCCGAGATATGGGGGCCCTGGGCAGGGGCGCGAGGGCATGGGCCCAGCGCATGGAGAGCCCGGGAGATTTTTATAAATTCGGTTCTCTTTGTTAAAAACCATTGTTCTGGCCTCCCATGGGGGCCCTAGCCAAGCTAGCAGTAAGAGGGGGCTCCCCAAGGAAGGGCTACTGGCAGACTTTGGTGTGCTCGGGGCTCAACTGCAGAGCATGCAAAACGCAGGTGCCCAGCTCCCCGAAGACGCTGAGGCAGAAAGCTGGGACAGACAGGGCTCAGGCATCCGTATTCTTAGCAATCTGTGTCTAAGGCATGCTCACACATTTGGGGGAGGGGGGGAGACTAGAAACAAATGGCTGTCGGCCAGCCACTGGGCCCGGGAATCACCGGGTGCCCATCACTTCCCCAGGCGCGCCCTCTCCAGGGACAGGGTCTCTGCACAATACGTACTTTCAGCTAACACCCAGGCGTTTTGTTTTGTTTCGTTTTGTTTTGTTTTTAATTAGTCATTTTGGGCATTCAAAAACGTTTAAACATTATAACCCACAGCAGCAGGAGAATTAAAACATATCCTTCCCCAATTTACCCCCACCCCAAAGTACCCACTTTCCTAACTGTGGCACAGCTTTATCCTCTCACGACACGTGTCTGGACCCATAAACAATATATAGTGTGCTTTCACATGTTTTTAAAACAATGTTAATGGCAGAGTGCCCTATGAGCTTTCTCTCTCTCTCTCTCTCTCTCTCTCTCTCTCTCTCTCTCTCTCTCTCTCTCTCTCTCTCTCTATCTCTCTCTCTCTCTATGATCTCTCTCTCTCTCTCTCTCTCTCTCCCCCCACCCCCCTTATGCTTTTGAGATTTATCCATCAGGGGAAGTTTGCTGAGCTCAGTCCTATTTGGCTGATCGGAGGCCACTTCTGGGGCTTTCCATGGGAGAGCCCCAGCCAGCCCGCAGGAGTGAGGGTCTGCCCTCCATCCCTGGGTGGGTGTGTGTGATGTGGGGAAGGGCTCTGAGCAGGAAGGCCAGGACAGTAATGAATGGCTACACGCAGGTTCAGTGAATTCCTAGCAAATCCTTCTCCTGAGCACCTGAGGCCCACATCTCTGCCAAGAATTTTCCAGAAAATGACTCTGGCCGGAAGGCCTGAATGTTTGGGTGGGGAAGTGGAGAAGTTAGCAGTGGGCAGCTGTGCAAAAGTGGGAATTATGCGGTGACGGAAACACCCACAAGGCAGACAAAGCGTGTGCTGCCGCCCCCTCCCTATCTAGAGGGCCATCAGATAAAATATAAATTCAGACTCAATGGGAGGGGGGAGGGGTGTCCTGTATATATATATATTGGCAACCCTAAGCCCAGCCAACATTTTAAAAACGAATTTAATATTTTGGAAGGAAAATCATCCTAGGAAAAATTAGAACTCCAGACTTCCCCATCTCTCTCTACCTCGCCTAGCACACTCTTCATCAGCATCGCTGTGGGGACTGAGCCCCACCCTCTCCAGCCTCTGAGTGATGGGGGGGAGAGAGGGACCTCAAATTTAGTGCCCTTAATTTAGTGACCTGTGAGCTTATTTTAAGCTGCTTCAGGGGGGAAGAGGACCGCCACGCCCGCATTCCCTAACTTCCAGGATCCCCGCCTGGCGCCGAGCAGCTGCGGGAGGAGCAGGGGCCTGGGGGCTGGGCTGGGGGCGGGGGCTCGGTCACTCAATGAAAGGGGCTTTTACGCTTTTAGGGTAGCCGCTTCCTCTCTTGAATGCACGCTGGGTCGCCCTTTAAAAACCACCGGCGCCCAAGCCCCACCCCCGCGGGTCCAGGCTGAATCTGTCCAAGGGGAGGCCTGGCTTCTCGGCTCCCGAAAGCGCCCAGGGAGGGCGCCCCAAAGCGCGGCGGGGACCGGGAGCCACGCTCCCCGGATTCCCAGGAAAAGGGGCCCTTACACCTCGGGTGTGTGCTGGAATCACCTGGCGAACTTCAAAAATACCGATGTCCAGGTTTCAACGGAGACTGTGCGCGGCCCGAACTCTGGGAGCTCCCCAGCCCAGGAGATTGCGATCTGCCGGGGAGCTGGAGAATCGCTTGTTTACGGGCCGGGCGCGGCCGGGCGCAGGGAGCCCCGCGCGCCGCTGGGTGGCGCTGCCCGCTCGGCCCGGCGCCGCGGGAGGCGCGCACCTGACCCGCCTCCGCCGGGCTGGCCGCGGGGCTGCAGCCGGCCGGGCCGGGGCGCGGGGCGGGCTCCTGGGCTGCCCGCGCCCGCCGGACCCCGCCGTCCGTCTGATGTCGCGGGCGGGCGCCGACCAGCCGGAGCCCCTGTGCAGCGGGGCTCGCGGGCTCGCGCTCTTCCTGACCCCCGAGCCCGGGTCCGAGGTAGGGGGCGCGGATGGAGGTGCGGGAGGCAGGTCTGGATGTGCGGGGTCTGGGGCCCGCGCGCCCTGGGGGAGAATGGGACGGGGGCGGGGCCCCCAGCGCGCGGGTACCCGGACCCGAACTCGCGGCTTCTGCTCAGCATCCTCTCCCGCGCGGCACGGGGCTCCGGGCTAGAGGAGGGGCGCGAGGGGTCCCCGCTGTTGGGAAGCGGTGACTTCCTGGCGCTCCCCAGAGATGCGCGGCGGAATCCCGCCCGGTCCTCCTCTCCCCCTGCTACGCCGACCCCCCACCCCGGGACGCCCTGGGCTCTCCTCCCCGTAGGCCCCCCAGCTCGGGCCCCGCTGCCCTCTCCCTGGGGCGGAGGAGCCCTGCCGGCCCCGGGCGCTCTGCTCAGAGCTGCGGGCCAGGTGCCGGGGGAGGCGGGCGGCTGCCTCTGCGCGGGGCGCTCCGGCCTCGTCCTGCCTGTTGCTAGGAGCGAACATACTCCGTCTCTGCCTGTGCCTTCTATTTTTATTCGCACAGAATAAACAGCAGGTCTAAAACTAGACCCTTCTTCCGCGGAAGCCAATCTGTTGACGGTGCCGTGAAGAAGTGACTTGCCCAAGTTCACCAGGAGGTATTTGGATGCTCGTTCTCTTTTTAAATCTCAAAAGCAGCCCGGAAGCATATGAAATAAAGGGTGAGCACCCGCCCCCTTTTCCCTCCCACCCGGACCCCAGATCCCTGCGACCACCACCAGTGGAGTTTGGAGAACAGCAGTGCACACGTTAAAAACGCATGTACAATACAAAGGTGGGTGTGCATATACGTAGTAATAAGGTATTCCTTTTCCTAAATCTCCACTTGATGCTGTTCTGCAGCTTGCTTTTCTTTACGTGGAACAGCTGGCCAATGGGGCGTGACCGCCGATGATGTAAGGTGCGGCTGCTTTCAGGTGATGAAAATGTTCTGCAATTAGTGGTGATGGTAGCACAACTTCAAGCATTTCCTGGAAACCACTGAGTACACTTCTAAAAGGCTGAATTTTATGGTATGCGAATGATATCTAAAAAAAAAAATTTTTTTTTTGTTAATCCTCACCCAAGGATATAATTTTTTTAAATTATATTTTTTATTGATTTTTTACAGAGAGGAAGGGAGAGAGATAGTCAGAAACATCGCGATGAAAGAGAAACATCGATCAGCTGCCTCCTGCACACCCCGCACTGGGGATGTGCCGGAAACCAAGGTACATGCACTTGACCGGAATCGAACCCGGGACCTATCCACTGTGCCAAACCGGTTTTGGCCCAAGGATATACTTTTTTCCATTGATTTTTAGAGAGAGTGGAAGGAAGCGGGGAAATAGAGAGAAACATTGATGTGAAAGAGACACAGCCGTTGGTTGCCCCCGGCCCACTCCCTGACCAGCATTGTCAACCAAGGTACTTGCTGGGCCCTTCAGTCTGAGGGCCATTGCTCTCACCACTGAAAAAACCGGCTGGTGCTGTTACCTCAATTTTTAAAAACAGCATGTCCAATAGAAATCTAATCTGAGCCACAAATGTGCGCCATCCGTGTAATTTTAAATGTTCTGGGCCCACATGATAAAGGAAAAGGAAACAGGTGTGATTAGTTTCAGTTATTTAAAATAACGGGGTAGCCAGTATATCATTTCGACATGTCATCAATGTAAAAAAAAAAAAAAATCCAATGAGATTTTTGCATTTTGAAATCAGGTTTTCCGTGTTGAGCTTACACTACATCTCCACTGTGACCAGCCCACATTTTAGGTGTCCCATAGTCACCTGAGGCGGGTAGGGGTGAGTCTGCATCATTCTTTGCCTTCCTACCGTAGTATTCCACATCCCAGTGACAATTACCCCTGCTTCCTGGGCACGCACTGTGTGCAGCTCTGTGCCAGACCCTGTGCGTGGATTGCGCCATTGCCTCCTGGCAGCAACCTGGTGGCTGGGAGGCGGTGATGACGATTGTATAGCTGAGAAGGCTGAGGCCTTGCCGAATGAGGGGCATCCGTCCCATGGAGGTGCTGTAACCTATGACCCAGGCCCCCAGGGGCGGGCATGGAGGTTGGGTGCAGAGTTTTACTGGTTTGAGCAACATGAGTGTCTTTTTCGTACGTGCTCTGCCTTGCTCTCAGCAGGGAGATGTCCCTGTGCCCAGTGGCTAAACCTCAGCTTCCTTTAGTCTCTATGAGGGCAGCTTTCCAGAGGAGCTGCGTGCACTGACTCCATGTTCTCACTCAGGGCTGTCTTTGAGACTCAGGCTGGCTCGCACTCATTCGTAAGGGCCTTAACGAAGAGCCCAGCTCCCTGTAGCTCTGAGCGGCGATGGACCCACTTGGGAGCTTGCGGATTTTTTTTTCCCAGAAGAGGCAGAAACTGTCCGAGTGGAGTCCTCTGCAGCTTCTGCTTACAGCTAATTCCGTAGTAGGTCCCTGAGCCTCGGCTGTTTGCAGGTGGGCGAGTGAGTGGGAGAAGGGAGGTCTGGTTTGGGAACAGGCCTGGGCTGCAGGCCCCTCCCCCACTGGCCTTCCCCTGAGTCCGCTTCTGGCTTTTAAAGGGAGCAGTGGGGGTGTCAGACCAGCCCAGTCTGGTCCTAGGAGTGCCCTGTGGTTCCTGGTGAAGGGTACCTGCTTCATTGAACACCTTGAACCCCTGCTCTATGCCAGACACGGAGGGAACACAAGGGCCCTGCCCTCACAGGACAGGAAGCACGGAACACACAAAACCTGTCACTGGTGATGAGTGCTCCGGAGAATGTAACATGAGTGATGTGATAGCGGGCATCTCTGTGCCTGGGAGGCGAGGGGCGGGGAAGGCCTCTCTGAGAAAGCCAAGACCTAGATGTAACCACGGAGGAATGTGCTGGAAGAACAGCGATCCAGGATCTAGATGGGTGACTAGCAGAGGGACCCTCGCCTGGTCTGGGTGAGATCAGGGAGGGCTTCCATGAGGCAGTGTCGTTGCAGGCTGAGCCCTGAAGCATGAATAGGAGTTGGCTGAGAGGGAGAAGAAAAATATTGCAGGCAGAGGGGCCAGAAAGTGCAGAGGCCCTGGGCGGGGTGGAGCAGGTGCCCAGGTGGAAGAGCAGCATAGGGGGCAGTGGGAGAGGTGGCTGGTGAGGGAGGAGCCCTGCCAGCACTTGGCACTGGCTCACCGGCTGCAGGGCTGCCAAGGGGCCGCGTGCGGAGACTGGCTGGCAGGTGAGTGTTCCACTATTTCCAGTGCCCTTGGGGGTTTCTGCCCAGCCAGCTTTTGTGTCTCTTACTGTCTCTCTTTGTCTGGTTTGAACTTCCTCTTTTGGGGCAAGTTTCAGGGGGTTTGCAGAAGCTGCGTCCAGGTGGCAGGGAGAGGAGGAGATGTTTGCCTCTGGGGTGCCCTGTGACTCACAACAGGGGGAAGCTCAGGGCCCTCCCACAGGGCCGAGCACGGATGCCCACAAATTTCTGGTCTTTCGGAAATCCATTGGGCTCCCTCGGCCCACAGATGGGGTTGATGGCCCAGAGGGAAGGAAATGAAGCCAGCCCTTAATCACACGCAGGATCAGGATCGTGGCGAATGAGCAGAGGATGGTGGCAGGGGAACCCTGGGTGGGTCCCTTAAACCCAATTGGATTAGATCAGGGATTGATGTGGTTGGTTCAAACCAGAGAGGGCTTTTTACATGAAGAACTGTTATCATAAAAAAAAAAAATCCGAGTTTCACCCTGACCGGTTTGGCTCAGTGGGTAGCGCGTCGGCCTACGGACTGAAAGGTCCAGGTTTGATTCGGGTCAAGGGCATGTACATTAGTTGTGGGCACATCCCCAGTGGGCAGTGTGCAGGAGGCAGCTGATGGATGTTTTTCTCTCATCAATGTTTCTGACTATCCTCTCCCTTTCCTCTTTGTAAAGAATCAATAAAATATACATTTTTTAAAACCCGAGTTTCTTGTTTATTTAAAATTATGAAGAGCCTGGTAGTCCTGGGTCCCTGTTTCCGTTTGCACAGTCCCCACCTTCCCCTGTCGCTCCCCTGTACTGAAGCTGGTACCCGTTGCCATTTGCCCGGAGCTTGGACTTCTGTTTGTCTGTAGTCATGATGGGAGGAGAGGGAACTGTTTCTCCAAACCAGCGTCTGGACTAACGTAGGAAAGCATAAAGGTGCCCTTGAGTGTTAAGGAAGACGTGGATGAGGCTGTTGCTTTGTGGCAGCGGAGACTGTTTCATCGCTTCCAGCCTGCAAACCCCGCATGCCCGCGGGAAGCCCCGCCCCCAGGCGTGCTGTCCTGGGCCCTGCGGGTCCCTCTGGGCATTCGGTCTTCACATGCTCAGACTGGGAGCCTGTGGGCAGCGCCAGGCACAGTCTGCTATGTACCCAGCTGTCGTCCTGTATGCATGTGTTCCTCTTTTTTTTCTCTCCCCTCATTTTTTAAATTAAGGTATTATATGTGTACATACCTTACCAATCCCCACCCCACCCCCACTCCCATACATGCCCCCCCCCCCGAGTTTTGTGTCCATTGGTTACGCTTATATGCATGCATACAAGTCCTTCGGTTGATCTCTCATCTCCCCCATATCTCCCTCCCCTCCCCGCTGTAATTTGACAGTCTGTTTCTTTTACTGTCTCTGTATCTATCTTTTTGTTCATCAGTTTAAAATGTTCCTTATTATCCATAAATGAGTGAGGTCATGTGGTGTTTTTCTTTCATTGACTGTCTTATTTCACTCAGCATGATGTTCTCCAATTCCATCCAGGTTGCTACAAATGATGAGAATTCCTTCTTCTTTATGGCAGCATAGTATTCCATTGTGCAGATGTACCATAGTTCTCTGATCCAATCATCTGCTGAGGGGCACCTAGGCTGTTTCCAAATCTTAGCTATTGTAGATTGTGCTGCTATGAACATAGGGGTGCATATATCCTTTCTGATTGGTGTTTCTGGTTTCTTAGGATATACTCCTAGGAGTGGGATTACTGGGTCAAATGAGAGTTCCATTTTCAGTTTTTTGAGGAA